ATACCACAAGGACATGAAGAGAGAGAGAGAGAGAGAGAGAGAGTAGTGTCTGAAATGTGAATGCAGGCATCGCCTTCTGGGGGAATGGGCTGCTTTTGGCATGGTTAACACGGGGAAATCACATATCCGCACTATGTGCAGCCAGCTCCGAGGACAGATGCTCTCTGGACCCTGATAATAAAGGGTTCCTCGGGATCCGCTTTGTTCTTCCAGCTTAAAAAGTGTCACCAGAAGCCCTGGATGAAAAATACAGCTTCTGATTCATGCGCACAGTCAGGAAGCATCCCTTGCTCAGTACAGAAACTTGTCGGTCAACCTGGGGAAGGAATCACCACCACGATATGTGCTTTGGCTTGCCAAAGCTCAGGAGCTTCCAGAGCCAAAACCCCAGCTGCCTGGATTGTCTGGAGAAGGTGGGGGCTGGGGCGAGGGTGGGAGGAGGGGTGGGGAGAAAGCAGGGCTCTCGGAATCATCTGATTCCTACCCCCCCAATTCCGTCCTGTTTAATTCCAAGCTAAACCCACCTCCAAATATCTAATGGGCCAATTGATCCTAAAAACCGCGTTGAACACTACCCCTTCCAGCTCTGTGCCTGCTGGCAAGGTGAAGCAGATGGCTTCTATCGATAAATGTATTTACTTGGAAGGGGCTGCTGGAAGTCAGGAAATGCCAGCGAGACGAGTGTGCGTGGCTCTGGCCAGAACTGCCGTGACAATCATAAGCAGACACCCAGACAGTGTCAGGTTGAAAGAAATCGCAGCTAAACCCCAGGAACCTGGGGCATTTTCCATCCCTCTCCCGTCTGGCCGCCATGTCAGCCGTACACTTAGGAAGAGATACCTCATTTGGTTCAACATTCTGTGGTATTCAAAGGTTTGTAGGAGCCATGGAGGGCCTGCTTTCTCAAAAGGGGTTCATAAACCAAACAGGCCTGTCACTTGGACCTCATCCTGAGGCCCTCACTATCTAGACAGACCCAAACAGAAACTCCCACTGCCTTGGAGCCCAGCACATAAAATCCTCTTTAATACACACACACCATTTTTTTTTTTTTCCAGTGGAACGGCCTCAAGGTGTTAAAAGTACATAAAGGTCTGAAAGCTGAAACCTTAGATAAACAGTGTGCCGAAATATATTTAGCAGAAAATATTGAAAGCCACAGGAAAAATATGTTCTCTTCCCGGGATGTTAACAAAGGTTTAGGTTCAGGAAACCTTCAGGAAATAGCGCGTTGGGTTGAGGAGGACTACTGCTCAATGTAAATAAATCACTAAACCTCTTTGGCCTCCGTAAGCCTTGGCTGGAATGGAGTATTTCATTTTTCCCCCATTAAACAGGCCACCCGGAGCGTTGGCATTATAGACCTGAACATGGACCAAATCTGAATGTGCTATTTTGTTTCTGTGCATTGAATCAGTCTGTGTTTCAAATAGCAGCTTGTGCAAAATGGGGGGCCGGCCATCCAGACTGGCGCACCCTCCCACTCAGCATAAATGATAGACCTGTTTCACCTCAGATCACCCAGTGTCTTGTCTCCGACAGAAACATACCCTCTGTTGTTGTTGCCCAGGGTGATGTCATGCTCATTCTAAACCCCGAGGTTCTAAAAGGACTCGGTTGCTTCTACAGCAATAAGATGCCTTCAGATTTCCTGCATATTTCCTGCCGTCTCCGGCTAGGGACGGAGAGAGAACTGGAAAGGCCAGGCAGCCGCTCTCCCCTAAGATGGATGCTGCATGAGGTAAACGGCTGGCTAACGTAGCTGGCATCTTTGCAGTTCCCAGTTGCCAGCAAAATATTATTAAAAAGATAAAATACACGCAAACTGTGCAGAATGTAGGGCTGCTGTGTTTACATCCGGGTTTTGATGACTCAAAGACTTACACTTGGACTTGCTGAAAAGCTCTATTAAAAACACAGCTTTGTGCAAGCCCCCAGGGAGCAGGAAGCAGGGCGGGTGTGTGTGTGTGTGTGTGTGATTGTTTGGGTGGGGGTGGAGGTGCGGGTGGAGGGGGTGGTGACCTGCCCAGGAGGGTGCTTAGTCCTGTGGTCGCGGCTGGCACTTAAGACCCGGGAAATGCCTAGAGGTTAATCTCCTCTCCGCTTTGGAACCAGGGAGAGGAGGGTTAACCTCTTTCCAGAACATTTATTTCACCATCTCACTGACGAGAAGGAGGAGGGGCGGAGGGAGGGAGAGCGAGAGCCTGCCGCGCCGAGAGGCTGAGGATCACAAGGCCATTCTGATAGCCTCCTGTCCCCATGGCAACTGCAACGGCATTTATCAGTTCCTTCTGCGCACAGGCACAGCAAATCTGCATTGCACATGGCAGGCTTCCAGCATTTCAAATGAAAGAGCACTTTGAACGGCTGCCAAGTTTGGAAGGAGCAGAACTGTCAGGGCTGCTTAAAGCTGGCAGTTTATACTGGGGAGGCTTTTGCTTCCCAGAATCCTCCGGGCCTGGCGAGCTGCCAAGTACTTAGCGGAAGCTAAAAAGTAACTCGCTCCCCTCCCTCCCCCCTCCCCCCTGCTCACGCTACCCGCCCTCCCCACGCCATTCACCGCAGTGCTCTCAAAAAATTTCCACATGTCCTGTGTCACCAGTGCAGACTGTACAATGAAAACCAGAACATCGGCTGCCCGCAACCGGGCGGTTATTAATAGGGGGTGGGGTGGGGGGCAGGCTGGGATCTGACACTGACAGCCAGGGCAGCGGGTCTCCGCTGTACCAGCCATAACCACTGGGTGTCACAGCCCGAGTGTGTGTGTGTGTGTGTGTGTGTGTGTGTGTGTGTGTTGCAGCCTTAAAAATAAAAGTGAAAAGCTTCCGAACTGTAGACACCCTGAGTACCATGGGCTGGGCGTTTTGCAGCTTCATGGAAGGAGGGGAATGGAGGTCACGCAGGCAGCATAGTTCAGATCCAGCCTTTCCAAGAGCCTTGGGAAAGAGGGTTATTGAGGACCCAACCCGTTTCTGGAGTCTTTCTTGAATCTCGCCGTGTTGTGGTGAAAGCTCTGAGGCCACAGATGGGGAGGGAGGGAGCCTTTTCAGTGGAAAGTTTACCAGATAACTTCTGGTTGTCACACTGTCACGCACAGCCCAGAGCACAAGAGCTTCTACTAGCAGAAACTGGAAATTGGCAGTGTTCACTGTGCTGAATTTAAAAAAAAAAAAATTAGAATCTACACTGAGATCAAGGGCCCGGGCTTTATTTTCCAGCACAAATAGAACAAAAATTGTCTGCCGCTTAGGCAGTTGGATAGAGTTCAGGAAAACTATGTCTGGCATTAATTCCAAAGTGGAGGTTTTGGTTCAGGCGAGGCCCATTAATTTCAGTAAACTGTTTTCACTAGTCCAGACCCTGCTGTGCAAGGGCTATTTATTACCTTTTGCTAACCTGATGTCTGCAGAGTTGTAAAGCAAAGGGAAAAACAATCCAGGGTGGAGATATCTATATCTTGGATCAAATGGGTTTTGCACCTTCCCTTTGGGGGCCATGTTTTATGGGGCATTTTCTATCCCTGGTTTTTCTTTATCAGCCGTGTGTGTGTGTGTGTGTGTGTGTTTTAGAAGGCATCTTGCAATGAATCTCAGAAAAAAAAATCCTGATTGAGAGGAAACTGGTGAGAGCAAATACCTATCTCCTGCCGCCTTCAGAAGGGCACCTCCCAGACACAGGGATGTTTTGTATGCCTGTCCCTAAGCTTCCAGGCTGCGGGTCCAATGCAAAGCCCTGACATGATTCACCCTGATGATCGGGGCTAAAATACACCAAGACAGTCCATTTTGGCATTTGTTCTCCCTTAGGAATTTTACTAGCTGCCTTAGAAAAGCACATAAATTGCTTCCCCCTCCCTCTCTTTTTTCCATGCCTCCTCTCTTCATCCCCACTCCCCCCCCCCTTCCATCTTGATGTCATTTCAAAGGGAAGGATGAAAAGGGGGGATTTGTCAGGCAGTCAGGTTTGTGAATGTGTCTTTCTAGCCCTCAACACACACACACACACACACACACACACACACACACACACACACCCCTCCGTTGAGAATGAGAATGTTAATCAGAATTAAAAGCCAGTCAGTACTGTTAAAGCATCAAGACGAAGACTTAGAGAGGGGAGGGTGGGGTGCAGGGGCAGAGGGAGTGGGAATGAAATATAATTCAGTCCTCCTCTGCCTGACTTGCTAAAAGAAAGGAGGGGAAAGGTAACACCAATTTGGTCAGCTTGTCAAATGTCAGAATTATTGGTCTTTCCTTTTAACTACCTTTCCACCCGCCCTCCTCCGCCCCGCCCCAACACAGCAAGTTGTGTGCCTTTCCCAACTGTGATTAATCTGGCAGAGGCTAGAAACAGGAGTAGGCTTCTTGGCTGCCCGTTCTGATAAACAATCTGTTCTTGGGAAGAGTAGGTGAAGGGGGCGTCAGGGTGGGGGGGTGGTAATCGGTGGGTCTGGTGGGGGAGGGGAAACGAAGTGGGGTGCCGGAGGCCAGCCCAGCTAACCCTAGCAGAGGCCCGCCCTCCCGGAAAATGCAAGTGCCCTTCCTTTGGAGCGCGTGGTTTGGGGTGGGTCAGGTTTCCTGCCCTTAAGAATGTGAGCAGAGACAGTGGGTCCATTCTTGCTGCCAGTTCACAACGTCCAGGAAACGTCAGGGGGACAACGAGGGCTGGGGGAGGGAGAGGCGACGGGAGGGGAGAGGAGGCCGCGCGCCCCGCGACTTAGGACCCGTTTTGAGCGCTCTGGGCGCTGAAGACCACAGGCTCGTGTGCACAGGACATGTTTGCCCTGGGAAACCGAGGCAGCCGCGGGGAAGGCGGGGCGGGGTGGAAATATTGGAAAGCGGAACTGGGAAAGCCAGAAGATGTTCAAAACAAAAGGAGGGACTATTTTGCGGCTGCGGCGGAGGTCGCTGGCATCCAAACGCTGTAGGCCAGCAGGCTGGCTGTGGATTTTGCAGCGAGTTTATTGTGTGGGCAGCCAGGCAGAAAGCGGCAGCATGAAAAAGTGGGGAGGGGGCGAGTCCACGGTTGAAGGGAAATCAGTGCCGCGAAGGCTGCGCATGGCTGGGAAATGTCACCAAGGAGAGAGCAGTGGCATCGAATAAAAGATGAATAATTGGCTACCTTTCGGGAAAAGAATGGAAAGATATTAATAAAGGCGAGAACCCCGCTTCTTCTCAGCCTGAAAAGCAAATCCATCTCTCTCCTCCTGCCTCTTCTGCCCATCCCAGCGCGCAAACACACACACACACACACACACACACACACACACACGCCCCTCTTGTCTACCTTACATCCAAGAAGCCTAGGCCAGGCTCTCGCTTTCCTTTGGATTTAATTACATGAAAATGCTGAACAAAAACCTGTAATTACACCCTTAGTCCCTGCCACTCAGGCGAAGCACACTTCCTGCCTGGTTTTGTTTTTTAAGGAAGAGGTCATTGCCTCTTTTCTCTCTTAAATTGACCAAAACAAAAAAGTAAAAGCCCCAAATAGATCCAGCGGTTCCAGTCTTCAGCACCACCAGAGATTTGGGGACACTCGGTCCTGGCCCCCTAGGAGAGAAATGAGAAGGAGACAGCCCAGCCTTACTATTGTCTCTCTAGCGCTTAGGTAGCAGGTAGTCACTGCTTCTTTGTCCTTCAGCCTAGAAGGACAGAGATGCCAGGCTGGCCACCTCAGGAAGAAACCCACCAAGAGCAAGATGAAGGGTGTGGACAGGCCTCAGCGCCAGCCTCACTTTCCAGCTATTTCCTTTTTACAAAGAAGGGCGTAGTGCTGGAAGAGATTCTTGACAAGGGCCACCTTTCTAAAGCCCTAGGCATTAGCATTCAGAATTTTCACATGCGCCTCTGAAGGAAGGAGAATAGGTTTTAATATCAACACTTGACAGGGAAGGAAGTTGAGGCCCAGAGAGAATAAATAGATGGCTCTAAGTCAGTCATGTGGCTGGTGGGAGGGTTGAATAAGTGCCTCTAGTGACTTTTGGGCTATTGCATCAGGAAACTAGGACACCTAGAAGGAAATGGAAGCTTCTAGATTTGGGGCTGGAGCTAATTTGGCTTGGTTGGTCATTAACTCCCCAGGACTGAGAAAGTGCTCTCTAACTAAATACTTGAATAACTGAATGGATGGCAAATGGGAAAGCCCAAGGTAAGGAGTTGGGCATGGAAACCTACCAGGCCACCTGGCAGCCAAGTTTTAGCTTTGAAACAAAATGTAAGTGATGAGGGTAGTTTCACACCCACTAAGGACACATCAGACTTAAATCCTCTGGATCTGGCCAGAGAGGGAAATTCAGGTTAAAGCATGGTGGTCCTCTAGATGAGTCAGGGTTGGGGGCCACCTGCTCCCTCAATTTCTAGCTCCAATGAAAGGTAAGCCAGGTTTTTTGTTTGTTTTTAATTATTTATTGATTTGAGAAAGATAAAGGGGGGAGAGAAACATCGATTTGTTGTTCCACTCATTTATGCATTCATTGGTTTATTCTTGTATGTGCCCCGACCAGGATCTAACCTGCGACCTTGGCCTATCAAGATGATGCTCTAACCAAATGAGCTACCAGGAAGGCCAGGTTTGACTGTCAGGGTTATAGGCCTCCCCTAGGCTAGAAATGCTTTGAGGGCAGCAGCCTGCCATAGTCATCAAGTGGTCTCCAGCCCACGTGTAGGACGGTGGGTGTTCACACAGTAGGTATGACCTGAATTCGGTGAGAACAAAGGGTTGTTACTTGTGTGATATGACCTCCAGGTCTGGGAAGAGGTTCCTTCCATCATAAATGCACCCTGTCGCCGAAACCGGTTTGGCTCAGTGGATAGAGCGTCGGCCTGCGGACTGGGGGGTCCGGTGTTCGATTCCGGTCAGGGGCATGTGCCGTGGTTGTGGGCGCATCCCCAGTGGGGGGTGTGCAGGAGGCAGCTGATCGATGTTTCTAACTCTCTATCTCTCTCCCTTCCTCTCTGTAAAAAATCAATAAAATATATTTAAAAAAAATGCACCCTGTCCACGTTCCTCCTACCCTTCATCATTTAGCCTGGGTCCTCCTTAGGTGTGGACATCTAAAATGCAGTCATCATCCCGCCCTGGCAGGTATGGCTCAGTTGATTAGGTACCCTCCTGTGCACCAAAAGGTTGCCAGTTTGATTCCAGTCAGGGCACATGCATGCCCAGGTTGCTAGCGCCATTCCTGGTAGGGGGTGTGCAGGAGGCAGCCGATCAATGTTTCTCTCTCCTCCCTTCCTCTCTCTCTAAAATTCAATAAAAATATTTAAAAAAATAAAGTACCTAAATACTTCAGTGGGTTCTAAGGCTGCAGATTTTCCTCCATCACTTCTACTTAGGGAGAGAGAAGTCTCAGGGGAGGCCAGGGAAGCATGGGTACACAATTTTACTCAAAGCTACATGATAATTGATTTTAACTCCAAAATAACTGATGCTAGTTTGTGCATAATCTTGTATCTGTTGGGACAGCACTGGCATTCTTCATCTGTACACTCCTGAAGAGAGGCCATTTCATAGCCGCATCTGGGATCTTTCCACTCAACATCACCACCACCACCACCACCACCACCAAAAAAAAAAAAAAAAAAAAAAGCTAGCAACCGGTGAGGTAGAAGAAAGAATGCTGGGTTTAGAGCCAGAGAACCTGGTTTCCAGTCATTGTTGACCAGCTCTGGACCTGCTTTCCTCACCTATACTGGAGAGTGATGAAAGTAACACCTACCTCACAGGGCTGCTGTGGGGATTGGTGAGATAATGTCTGGGAATGCACTTCAGAGCTCTAGACAAATGTTGGTCATTACATTGTTCATAATAATCTCTTACATTTGATTAAGTAAGTACATTATAATATTGTACTTTTCACACAGACCAATGAGTCAGGCAAAGGAGGCAGTGTAATGGTTCCCATTTTACAGACTAAGAAACCGACGAAAATTCAAGTCATTTGCTCAAGGTCAAACAGCTGTTTAGGGTCAGCCAACTCCAAGTGGAACAAGGTCAGGTAAACATGTACTCAGTCCTAAGTGCCCTCCCTTCCTCCTGAGTTTCGGGTTGAACCGCCCAGCTCAGGCAAGTCAAAATATTTGGAGGTCCTGGTCCATCCACCCCAACCAGGGACGGCAGCGATCCCTGCCCGCCACTAACAGACTTGACCTAGGATCTTGAGGCCGCTGGGAGGGCTTCCCGTTCTGAGGCCCCGCCTTCTGGCGGCCCCAGCAGGAAAGCGCCGGCGGCAACCGGTCTCCGAAGCTGGCTGGTGGAAATCCCCAACTCTGGCGCGGGTCGCTGGGAACCCACGGGCACTTCTGCACCCAGCCGGGGCCCATGAGCCTGCGGGGTAGGGTGGAGGGTCCCTGGGTCTGTGCACCTGTGGCCTTGACAGTCCCAGCCAGGCTCTCCACCCACTCTGGCCCTCCAAGCCCTCCTTCCCAGCTACCCCCCCTTCTTGGAGTGTGGGTGTTTGTTTTAACCCAACCGGGTCAGTGAATGGCACCCTTGTCTGGAGCTTCCTCTAGGCCTGGTCCCTGGGAGGCTCATTCCAGGGCGTCTTTATTTTTGGACCTAAAAAAAAAAAAATCAGCTTTTGCTGAGGACAGCGCTGGGCTCCCCCGGGCCCTGGCACGCTGGCAAGGAAGGGAAGCAGGGAGGAAGCAGG